AAAATGGACCACAACACTATAATTTTGGTGCCTTTCTTTGTTGTTACATCTCCACAGCTGTAAGACTTTCTAAATTCTATATAGTCCTCTTGGAGTGCAGTATGATTTCTCTTGAGAACAAGACTGAAGGGTTCATTAATTAATAATCATAAATGTTCAATGACGGCAAGGGTAAGCCAGAAATTCACATGAACACCAGATGGGTCCATTGTTTTTCTGTTTTTTAAACTATAAGTCATGAATTAATTCACACATTAAAGGTAATAAACACATTTATAACACTATTGCAGCAGGAAATAAACAAAAGATGAGATACTTTCCAAGGCAGAAACTACACATATTTAAAGCTTTATTCTTTAAAGTGTATTGACAAACATTCTTAAATCTTTTAATGAATAATAGTGATTTTCTTTTTTATATGAAAGAAACAACTTAATCCTTTCTCCAAAAGCCCTTACTTACAAAAGCATTTCTCCATAAATGTCTCTTATGTCTTGGTATTATGTAAGTTAACGAATGAATGCTGGATTATAAGAAATATTGGGTAATTGACATTTTAAAACAACATTTGACTGGTTGGTTTTAACCCAAAGTTATTAGTAAATCAAACAAATTCAAGTGCTGCTCTGATTTGTTACTCCTGTTGAGACAGTTCTTTCTTCCATTAAAAATCAGAATATCAGGACCTGGTAGCAAAAATGGAATTAAATATATGTGATTTGTTATTTTAACACTGCCTGACAGCCACCATGAGCTTCCGCCTTCTCACTCTCCCTGCCCCCTGGGACCTGGCACAAGTTGAAGGGAGGGAGGATAAGGCAGCACCTGGAGATAGCAAGATGGGGTGGGTGGGGTTGTGGGTTGGATTCTCCCTTCCCACCTCAGAAGACATCCACTGACAATAGCACAATACAGTAAAATTGTTGTGCGATTGGAGACACAATTCAATTATGAAGTTTGTAATTTTTAATGATAAATACACTTCTATTACTGAACCTGCGTTTATGTATCTTTTGCAAATAAGACACTTTAGTGCATCTTCTAGTTTTCCCGATGTTATTCTTTTGCAGATAACCTGAGATTTGCAGTCCAAACATTTACAACAAAGCACCAGGACTTATTAGTGCTTAAAATTATACACATGCTTAAGTGCTTTTGTTGGTTGCAGCTTAAGTTTTGAAGGGATAATTTGTTCAGTGACAGGAAAAAGACCAGTCACCTTAAAGAAAGATGAGTGCATAGTCAGATGTTAGAATTGGATAGTAGAAGAAAAGCAGATAATCTTGATTTGGAACTGGATAAAAGTGTTTGCTTTTGGTTGTTGTAACTATAGTGGGATGTGATCAAAGGTTTTTTTCCAGTTAAATGACTTAACAGGCAAATCAATTCTTCCTCTTTTTACCAAACCCAGTATATCTCTTTCTGGTTATAGAAAGAAAATATTACGTATCCATTCCTTTATGAGTCACCTTCTCCTGGAAGGCCTTGAAAAAAGCAGTCAAAAGGAGAATTTAGGGAGAAGTTGAGGTAAAGATAGTATGCCTGATGGCCCTTTCATCATTATCTCAATTTTCCTCATCTTCCAAGGAGAAGAAAATTACTCCTTTGAAATATTATATTAAATTATGTGAAAAAGGAGATGAGGAGGATAGTTAGACAGAGGCCCAGTCCCTTAGAGGACATAGACTCCAAATTCATCTTGGCCTCCTTAATATGGATTTTCTCTTTATGAAGATTGTTCTCTGGCTGGCTTTGGAAGGGCCATTGTCAATAAACAATAAATATAATGTAAAAAGAATTTGTAAGTGAAACCACAGTAGACATGAATATTTCCCTTCTGGAGTTCCTGTACAGAGGGAAAGAATCCTGAATTTGAGAGTGACTTGGCTCTGAAACTAGAGGGAATATTGGTGGATGTTTGTGCTGCTGAGTTTCACACAGTTTCTCTGGAAGCAGGAGTGAGTGTTCCATTATCAGAGCTGGCCCTACCATGAGGTGAACTGAAGCAGCCGCCTCAGGTGCCAGACTGTGGAAAGGTGCCACTAGGACCCAGAGTGTAGAAAATTGTGTCTGCTGCTGGTGCATATGTATTCTCTCTGCTCTAGATGCATAGAGATGGTAGAGAGTCATAAAAGACATAGAACAGGAAGAAGACAGAATTGAGACCTTTCAAAGTTTTGGCCCAAGCAAGGGGGTATGGGGGCGTCATTTTAGCTCCCCGCCTCAGGTGCCAAAATGTTGTGGGACAGCTCTGTCCATTATCCAGCTTCCTTTATAATCTTGAACTATACAGAAAAGGGAAAGAATTGGTCACTGTCAACTTTTTCCATCTTTCCTGCCTTCCTGAGGGAAAAGTTGCCTACCAGATGCTTAACTCTTATATCAGAGTCTGATGACATGAAGCATCATATGCATTTTATTTTAATATTTCCCTCTTCCAATGGTCTAATCTGACTCTCCTGTGTTATACAGCCTTTTCTTCCACCTATATTCTAGGTCAGTTCTGTGCTCTTTCTGACGGTGCAGCCCAGGAACCATCAATGGATGGTTATATGATAATGGTGCTAATGCAGCTGCACTTCACACACTTTGGATAATAGGTCCTGATACTGCCAGATACTAAATTCTTTCAATTTCCTGTGAAGTCAGTGGAGTTGAAGGCACTTAGTGCAGTGCAACATCAGACTAATGAAGACCCTCAACTGGTGTACTTTGGTAATGTCACTTCATGAGTGAGTGCCTGAAATTGAAAGTAAAGATTTCAGATTCTTGGTTCTCCCTCTGGTCTATTTTTATCATTCCACACATTGCAGAACAATAAATAACATGAAACATTTTTCTTTCCCCCTTATTATTATAATTGCTTTAAGTGTCTCAGTTTTCCAGACTGATAAGCTGATTGTAAACAACTGTGGTCAGGGGCACATCTTTTTCACTGCTACATATCCTATCCTCCTGACCTCACAAACATCATGTGTCACAAGACAGACTCCAGATAGGAACATCTGCTTTATTTCAACATCATTTCCAGACACTGATATTGGGCAACTACCAAGAAACATTCACATAGAAAAATAATAAAAATACCATGAACAATATTAATTTTTAATATAGGAAACTGAAAAAAAAATTAAAAAAGCAAACGAATTCTATGAATGATATGAATCTCATTTTTTTAAATGTGAATTTTTCTGACCTCTTAAAATAATATCTATTTCAGACACTCAGAAACAATGCAATTTGGGTTAGGTAAAATAAACTACATGTGAAACCTGCTCTTTTTTGAGTACTATGCAGGTTGAATCATTAGTGAATTAAGACTGAAATTATAGATCTTTACTAGCACATTTACCCATTGTTGCTCAGGTTCTTAATTAAGGGTTTGGGATTTGTTGGAAAATAAAAGGAAAGTATGCATGATTTATTTAAATGATTGTATTTTCCAAAAACAGAGAGTACAGCTTGTCTGCCCCCTGTGCGCCCCAGCCAGAGTGAGGAATGCAGAAAAGTGTACATTTTCCCCTTGTTTCCTGATGAAGGGGAACAGCCAATAGCCCTGTATGAGTCCAGGGAAAAGGCAGGGGAGAGCTTCAACCCCCCAAAGGGTAGCTGCAAGGTTCAGGACGGGGCATTTCTGGAGTGAGGGTGCACTGCCTTTCACCTGCCTGGTGATTGTCTCTTTTTGGTATAATTTTATGAGAAACAATCCCATTCAAGGCACATCCCATTTTCCTAGTTCAACCAAACCCTTACCTTGCTTTAAGCTTTGATAAGAGGAAGCTGTATACCGAATTTGGTGGTCCTTGCTTTTATCATATAGGAGGAGTTCTTGAGCAAACAGACAAACAAACAGAAAATTTCTCTGAAAGACATATTAGATTAATTCCTTATAAATTCATTGTAATAATCTTGGCATCAAAATAATTAAATTCTCATTTTGGTCATGTACATTAAATGTACAGTACTGCTCATTCTCTTACATTATATATTTATTTTATCATGTGCAATAAATAAAATAATTTAATCCTTGGATCAAGAAATATCTCACACAAATATACCCTTAGGTAGGTTGGTAAACATCAAAAGAAAGCAAACAACTTCATACTTTCCATTCCATCATTCCAAACAGTAGAATTAAACACAGGACCACTTCAAAGATGATTGTTCAGGAACTGGATAAATAATGAATCTTAATTCATCAGAGAATATAGAAGCAGAGCCTAAAAATATGGATCGGAAGCTCAGTACGAGCAATAATTTCATTACTCTGTCACAGAAGTTGCTCAAAGTCCTTTCATTTCCATCAATTTATCCTAATGGTATTTGAGATACTATGGAGTTTTTCTGGAGCTAAGAGTTGTTAAACTAAAGACTCGCAACATCGCTGTACATGTGTTGACTTTAGTGACAACTTGCACATTTTCAGGGTCTGGGATCATGATTACACATCTGATCCTGCCTCTCTGAGTCCAATTTCTTATGTATCTCCTCCAGCTCTGGTTCTTTAGCCTCTGGTCTCCACATGTTTATTTCTGCCTCATTTTACTTTTATATACTCTGGGTTGTGAAGCCTTTCCTTACTTGCTGATTGCAGAAAAAATCAATAGTGATTCTCTTTAGATCCACTGATTTTGATAATTGTCACGATAAATGCACATCTGATTTGCTTGAGATGGATTTTAGTCTGCAGTGGTGGCTTAAGTAGTTATGGTTCTCCCAATTGAAAGCATCCACCACTTCACTTAGGTACTGAGAGAAGGGAGTGAGAATTCAGATGGATTCCTGTTGTAAGACAGGATTTTTCTTTCTTTAAAATATTCATATTGTCAAGAATCTAAACTCCACAGGCAACCAGGTGAGCTGAAAATAAATTCATTTTAGGAAGGAGGAACAGAACTTTAATCATCTGTTCTGTTTTGCTATAGAATGGAGATTCCCTAATTGGACATACTGGCCTCCCACTAAAAGGGGATATGGTCTTTTTCTTTTCCATATTTCAGAATTCAGCAGCCCTCAGAGTAGATGGTATCTCTTCTTTTCTTCAGGGACTGTCCCGGTGAACACCTTTCCTCTGGTGAGTAAAGTCTTTGTAGTCCCAGTTCACCAAGTATTTCATTATATGGTTAACTTTAAGCATGTCAGTCACTATGGAATACTCATATACTTAACGTTAGGCAC